AGGGAATTTTCGTCTGGCTCCGCCCACCTCGGAGCAGGCTCCGCCCACAAATGTTTTTTTGCTCACAATCGTTCATCGCCGACCCTCTGCTGACCTTGATCCACTTTTTTCCGGTCTTTGAAGTGCTCTGGGACCGTTTTACAGACCTTTTTTGTCTGGCTCCGCCCACCTCGGAGCAGGTCGCCCACCTCGGAGCAGTGTCGCCACATTTTTTTTGCCCTACAATTTTACCGACGACTCTGCTACTTTAATCCACTTTTTTTGTATTCTGGAGTGTTCTGGAACCGAGCTACAAACTTTTAAAATACCCTGCGATTTAGGGCAAGCCCCGCCCACTGTGGGCGGGTCTCAACACGCTTTGAGCGTGCCCTATATTCGCCAGATATTTACATTCTAAACTGAGCTTTTTGCGACTTCCAAACACTCTCGCGAACCGGGTTACTGAATTTTGCGAGAAGCACCGCCCACCTTGAGTACGCCCCGCCCATTTAGAGTGTACCTGCCACAGTTAGTCTGGCGACTCCTTACTAACCTTATTCCCTTTTTCCCCCATCTTTAGGCTGCCCCGGAAGCGAATTATGAACATTTTTGTGCGGAACCCCAAACTTTCGGGGAGTGCCCCGCCCACTGTGGGCGGAGCTTCCCTTAGGTCAAGTGTGCTTTTTATTTCTTGTCCCACGCCCTACCCATCCCCACCTTGACCGGACCTCTCCAAGTCGTTCTTCAGGTCGAACCGAATTTTCCGGACAGACAAACTTACAAACAAACAAACAAACAAACTTAACAAACAAACAAACTTACAAACAAACAAAACAGACAAACAATTATAATATATGGGGTGATTTGTCCCACGCCCTACCCATCCCACTTTGACCGGAGCCTTCTCCAAGTGTTTTCAGGATCGCAACGGTTTCCGACAGACAAACTTACAAAACAAACAAACAAACAAACAAACTTAAAAAACAAACAAACAAACAGACTAATTAGCGAATCTATATATTATGGGCGTGCATTAGACGTTGTCCTGCCAATTTGATTCAACGATTCAAAGTAAATGAGTAACAGGTTCGAAGGTGATTTTTTTTGTTACAATCTTTATTCAAGTAGAACGAGTAAAGTTGATGCTGCCGCAAAAATGTCTTTTTCTTGGCGTGTCTTCAAATGCTCTTTTTCACTGCTGTTAATTTTTCAGATACTATGCGCGTATTTGACTTAAAGACATAGTCGCTCACACACATGAGGGGATGTTATTGGAGGACTTATCAGCCCCCCCCCCGCTGTCGATGTGTCGTGGTGGTCCCCCCCCGCACTCAAACACGTCGCCAGGGAATGGAGCATACAGGACCGTGAAATCACTGCTAGATTCCTCATGCTCCGCCTTGCAACCTTGCGGCGCCAGATTCCCGTCCCTTTCATAAATCGTTGCGTGTCGCCAGTGCGGCTCTTTTGGCACTAGTTGCCAAGGTCCTGTAATTGCGCTTTTCCAAATACAAGTAAAACGCAATTTCCTGATGCGGATAACATTGGAGGTGCTGCAAAATAAGAACAGAAGATGATGACGAGGGTCAGAACTCAAGAGCAACTCGGCTGCATCCGCAGAGAAATCCATCGAGAACCGGCATTCCAGAAAACATGAGAATAAAAACAATCCAAGCGTCCCACTCGTTTATTCTAAGTATTTCTATGGCTTTGGCGCCGGATTCGCGCCGGATCGTAGAAATTTACAGGCGATTTCAACTAATTTGCCTTTCCTTGATTTTTTTCATTTTTGTTTTATTTACATTTACATCGTTGTGTCAATTTCTAGCCTGTGTCATCTTCATCTCCTTGTACATGGATTTTGAAGTATGAGCAACACCTCAATTTTATTCGCATCAGGAAATTGCGTTTTGCTTGTATCAAACTAACGAGTATGCCGTTTTATTTTCATGTTTCGTGGAAATACGCGGCCTCCGAGGGATGTTGCAGAAGTGGCACAGTTGCTTTTAAGTTCTGACCCTCGTCATCATCTTCTGTTCTTATTTTGCAGCACCTCCAATGTTATCCGCATCAGGAAATTGCGTTTTACTTGTATATTTGAAAGCGCAATTAAAGGACTTGGCAAAGTGCCAAGGAGCCGCACGCGACACGCGCGCTTGCAACGGATGTTATGAAGGACGGGAATCTGCGCCGCAAAAAGGTGTAAGGCGGAGCATGGAGGAATTAGCGTGTTTCACGGTCCTGTATCTCCATTCCTGGGCATGTTTGGGCGGGGGGACACGACACATCGACAGCTGAGGGGCTGATAGTCTCATACACCCTCAATGTGTTGTGAGCGTACTACGTGTCTTTAAGAGTCTTGTTTAAGTCAAACAAGTTTCTTTCAAGTGCCCTAAATTTATTTGGCTATTATCGTATACGGGTGGCAACTGAACAATGGCGCTGGCTGTTTTGTGGTTAGGGAAAACATCGTGAATGTGATGCAAATGCGAGTCAATGCGATCGCTCCCTGAAGGGGGGGGGGGGGCGTGCCCTTCATCTCCGAGCTCCATTGTTGGCTCCAAACGAAAAAATTTAGACCCACTCACGATCCGTTCGCGACTGACTCGCATGCGCGTTGCGCATCCAGCGCAAAATAGCGCTGACGGCACACTTGTTGGCAGCTTAGAACAGTAATGCTTTTCGCTTGCGGGATGATACATTCTACGTTTCTGGACCATTTTTGGGAAACGGAAGGCGCATGGTTAGCGATGTCTATAGTTGCCTTTCCTTACAACCAGTAATGCGAATCTTTTCCCTTGGCATTGAGAAATAGGATTTCGAAAGGGCATCTTAAATGGCTTACCAGCCGAAAGGCACAACAGGTCAGCCTTGGCATTTCCAATGAGCTGCACAGCGGTGTACGCACTGCCTTAGGGACCGGTGAACTCAAATCTACTTTTCGATTCGCAGAACATTCTTTGAACGATTTATGAAGAGGTTTTATCTCCCGCCGTGGTTGTGCACATGCTTATCGCGACGGAACGTGGAAGGTCTTTATCACAAATGTTATAGAGTCAATTTTTGAAAGTGTAGTCTATAGCGCACAGGGTAGCGAGCGGTTTCCTTAATGCTGAGATATCGTAGGACCTCGGTCCGGCGTAGATGACTATGCTTTTTGCATTTGTCACGAACATGCCGACAAAGCTTCTAACATACCTGCTAGACCTCAACTATCCTGTAAAGGAACTGCGACAATCGTTTTTTTGCTTCGAAAGTGTACGTCACCATTGTGAGCTGAAAGAGTGCTTGTGCTTGTCCCCTTCGTAACACATGTTACAAGGGTTTTTGCAATGAAATACCATGAATTTCATGTTCAGCGGGAAAAGGTTACCCTGAGGACCAAGTTAATATTTCCGCAATTGATTATTTTTGACCTAACTTGATAAGAATGTGCTATTCCATCGGGATGTAAACAGCAGGCATTTTTTGGAGCTATCATCGAATGAAACTGGTCTCGGGATGATTTTTCTCCCAGTAACCAGGAAATAATGCAGACAGTACGGATAATTAAGTCAGGTACTGTTCGGTTGATGAGTCATTTCAGTTTGAAGCCCAGTTCATCACCAAGTATGCTGTTGTGTATCCTGCTTGGCTATCCAGTCAGCCATGCTTATACCGCATTTTTTCCAAGTTGAGTCGGAACCTCAGATTTCGCTAAGGTGACGTCCCTAGGGTTATTTGACCCCCTGAACACGAACGTGATACCTGTTTTCGCTTGCCAGCTGGGGAGCGCTCGTGAGATAGCATACATGTGTTAACGGCTTCGCACCACGCGCGCCCGGAAGAAGAAAAACATGTAAAGAACCCTCATAGCTCACGCTCAAGGAATCGTTCACGCACAATTGAAGATTGTTTTGAGTTCACACGTGTCAAAATGAAGTATCAACCGATAGTCGCATCCCATTGCGAATGGCCGGGCTGACTTGTTGACCTTTCCCTGGTTAGTGGCAAATCGCACGCGAGTTTTCACGCTTCGGACGACAATGACGTCTGTCACACGCAATCTTTCGCTGAACCAAAAATAGCTTCACAAAGCGCCATATTTTCTCGTTCAAAGAAGGGCTACAGTTTGCCTGGAGGTCCGCTATTTCAGAAGAGATTAAGATGGAGTTTTCATAGGGTTTGGAAAGGTCGATACGAAGGAACATGTTTGTGTTGTATTGTTTAGTCATCAGCGTACTTACAATTAATGCTAACTAATAAAACTGTAACTTGTTATTGAACTACTTTAACATTTCATGGTGTTCTACACTCCCCTCCTACAGCTCGGGTTTCGTTTCATAAAACTCAGCAATAACACTCACGCGCTGTTCGGTGCTTACCGACCCCGCATTTACGACCCTCCCCCTACTGAGCGGCCAACTAGATCCCTTCCCTTGATAGGTACTGCAACGGTGCTGTGCCCGCTCATAATCACTGATGTGAGAGAACGATGCACAGTGCACCTAAGCAAACAATTTACTCGGTTGTGTTCATTGTTGTGGTACTTCCGATGTTCTGTCAAATACATCGTCGTGACATACATTGTCAATTACACATACAAGGATAATTTTCAATGAAAACAGAAGTCACAGATCGAAGCCAGTTTACGCCGACACATTTTCGATTTCTCGGAAATGGTTCGTGTTCAAAGGAAATATCCGGAAATCGACAAAAAAAACAAAAAAGAAAGGAATGAAAGAAGAAGAACAAATTAAATGAATGACACTCTAGAACGCCTCTTCAGAAGGAATTCGGCATGACGAGATTATAAGTACAACAACAAAGCAAATAATAAAATAATGTTTATTGTATGTATATAATAGAAACAGTGGTCAGCCTCATTTTGCACATGTGATATGCTCAACATTCAGATCATTTTTGACGACGGTTTCCTAGAAAGGGTACTTCATAGTTACTGCCTGCGTCGAATTTCGTTGTGAGTCAGGTCAAGTGCTTCAAATGGTTGTGTGTGCGATAGAATGTCCCGTAAATGAAACTCACACATCTTTTCCCGTTTTTTGGAAAAAGTTATGAATAAGCTCAATTGGGAATGGGAAGATTATCGTTGAATTCTTCTCAGCGCTGAAAAATATGAACATCGATCGATATTAATGCAGGATACATGCAACAAATTCTACTGAGATAACTTTATTCCATTCACAAGTAAATGCTACAGGTTTTTTGTGACCAAGGCAGGTACGGGGGACGCGCTGCGGTGGGATCATACTATGTCATCTCTGCTCGTATGCGCTCTCTCATAGTGATAGTATCCAAAATAGTTTTGGAGAGGCACTATTGTTTCGGCCGTTCCTCCTACTATCTTCCTGGATTTTCCCAACTTTCCCACTTTTCTCTTTCTTCTCTCGAAAAATTCTCTGCTCTTTTCTCTCAATAGGCCACGGCACACCATTAATAGGGCATTTCGGTCGGGTCCGTACGCCCCCCCCCCCTTTTTTTTAAGGGGTTGGTACGCTCCCGTCCCTAGTTCTGCCCTCCCCATCGAGCTGTCGATGGGGGAGCGAGCTGAATAGGGCCAGATTTTAAAC